GACACCCAGGTTTCCACAGTGAGTATAGAGGGTTGAATGGTGGCCCCTGACAACATGTATTCATGTCCTAGCCACTAAAACCTGTAAATGTGACTTTAGGAAAAGGGTCTGCAGATATTATTAAGTGGCATATCTTGAGATGACATCACCTAGGTTATCCAAATAGGCACTAAGTTCAATAACAAAGAGGAGAGAAGACACAACACACACAGTGAAGATGATGAGGATGATGGAGGAAAAGAATGGGAAACCTAAAGGAGACATCACCAGATTAAAACCTGACTCACCAGGTGACAGGTGACAACAGAAGGGATTAACATGGCCATTAACCCAGCCATAGAGATCAAGACACTTAGTGCCTTATCACAAAGCATATGATGCAAACAGGTATCAGACTGCTGTAATAAGTGTGGGAAGCGGAGGCCTGAGGGTAACGATATGGAGATTGGGCCCACTTTGAAATCTCCAGTCCCTTTATGAGTCTACATAGTTATCCAAAATCAGCAGCAAATAGGCCACTCCACAAAGGAATAATCCCCCACTCCCCGCCAGAAAAGGACTATATCAGGGCAGTCTCTGCACTGACCCGGGGCAGCTGATCTGCCCACCTGTGACTGTGCAGGTGCTTCTTTCCACCACCTCTCTCCCTTCGCAGGGCAGCAGCCTCCTGCCTGCCCGTGACCTGTACTTGCCGGGGCTTCTCTGCACTGACTCCTTCAGCGGAGGCCGCTCTCCTCAAGGCCTCCTGCCTGTGACCATGTAATCCTCTCTCATTAAATCTGTTCCTTTCGGGGCTGGTCTTTCTGCCCATTTGTGCCTATACAAGTGTCCTTTACTCCTCTGTCCTTCTGCCTAATAAACCTGCTCTTTAAATATAACTAATGTCTCTGCCTCATGGAGAAACTCACCTGGGAACTCGCCCAGTGCTGCTGAAAGGGGAGCTCTGATGAAACCTTTCCCAGAGTGAACCCAAGGACCCAGCACAAATAAAGACATCATCATCACACACAGAAACAAGTCCTGCTGGTATTGAAAGAGGAAAGACTGACTCACACAAGGGATTACATAGCCATTGATTGACCCAGCTATAGAAACTAAGACCCTCGCCAAGCATCAGACTGCGGTAGGGACTGTCTTGAGTGCAGACCCAAAGGGAAAGATATGGAGATTGAACCCCTTGTGGAACTTCCTGTCCCTTTCAGATTCTACATAGCTTATTCAAAATCAGTAACAAACCAAGGCTCATGAGCTCCTCCCAAAGATAAGACTATATCAGGGCAGTCTCTGTGCTGGCCCAGGACAGCAGTCCTGCCCACCTATGCCTACACAGGAGCTTCTTTCCACCCACTCTCTCCTTCTGCAGGGCAGCAGCCTCCTGCTTGCCAGTGACCTGTACCTGCTGGGATTTCTCCTCACTGACCTCCCTCAGCGGAGGCTGCTCTCCTCAAGGCCGCCCGTCTGCAACCATGCAGGCCTCTCTCAGCAAATCTGTCCCTTTCTGGGCAGCTCCTTCTGTCTTCTTGTGCCTATGCAAGTGTCCTTTACTTTTCTAATAAACCTTTACTTTTCTAATGTCCCTGTCTCATAGAGGAACTCAAAGGGGAGCTCTGGTGAAACCTTTCCCAGAGTGAACCCAAGGACCCTGCACTTCAAACCCAGTAACTCCTAAAAATAACATCAGTTTCACAGCAAAGCTCAATTCTTTTCATGGAACACCCTTGATTGGATGCAAAATCACCAGGTATGAAGTACTGTTTGTACCTTTTGCCCTCAGGCTGACACCAGTTTTGCAATCACCCAGAAATTCTACATCACAATCATCCAGACTCAGCCAAGGAAAATCCCTTCTCCCTCCCACTGAGCCTCTGAGCCTCTGGTTCCTTCCCTAGAGAAGTCCGCCATCTTGTGGTCATCCACAATTCTCACAGTCCTATCCTAAATCAGATGGGATTGGAGAGATGACTTCAAAGGCTACATAGGACTTCATTTAGGCTCTAAAGCCAAGAGCTTAGAAAGTCCTCTGGTCTTTCAAATAGCTAAGAGGTAAGCAAATGGCAGCAAAGCAGGCCCTGAAGGACAGTCTGTTCAGATTCTGTCTACAGTGGACTTCAGACACCTCCGGTACTAGGAGCTGTTTAGTGAAATAGACCCTTACAGGATAGATAACTTTCAGAAACCCAGAGGGAACTCTTGGTGGGCTCAGAAGAGGCTAGTTCTGAATCACAAGTCAGGAGCTGGCCTCTTTCTCAACCATTATAATTGAAAGCTAGTCTATGCCTCAGGTTTTCCATCTGTAACAGATTTGGCAGATGGCAAAACTTATTTAGAGCAGCCAGGTTTGGGGGCTCTGGAGTGTCCCTTTCCTTGCCCTGTAACATATCCATTAAGTGGGAATAAAACAGTATCTACACTAGTTGATTGGTTGTGTGTACATCAATGAGTTAATCGCCACAATGAGCTTAGAATTTGGCCCAACCCAGCAGGCTGAATACATGTTACTGTTCCCTCTTTTTTTTTCTTAATTATTACAAAAGTTTATTTTTACATCATTTTGCACATTTTTTACTGTTCCCACTTAACACCGCCATCAAGTACAACTTTCAACAACCTTCTTACATTTCAGTGTATCCCCGGTCACAATTGAATACCCAACATACCAGCTCAGATCCAATACAAATAAGTAAGTTATAGCCCTTATCTCCCACAATTCATGGATCGTCTAGAAGCATGAAGAATATGTGTAGATATTCAGTGCAAAGCAAAAACTAAGAAATACTATGACAATACAATGGCAGGTGTAGCAGGAGAAGAAAATCTTGTTTCCCCCAGGAAATAAGGGAAATCCACCAAGGCCTGTAAACTACCCCCAAGCCCTGACTCAGAGAAGCTGCGTGGAGCAGAATGTGAGGAAGAGGTCCCAACATGGGGGACTTGCAGAACCCCACCTCCTGTGGCCTGTCTTCATCTTGCAGCCCAAACACTCGCACGCATCCTCGCATGGAGCATGGATTCTCCCTTCATTCCGACCACACAACCTGCTGACCCTCCCCACTCAGTGGCCCTCACTGGCTCATCTTTCCCTCCACAGGCTCGGCTACCCCTCGGTCTGCCCAGCACCACACCTGTCCTCCCTCTACTACAAGCCTCTCAGAGCCAACCCCTGCTTCTCCTCTGGCTGTCCCAGCACAGCTCAAGCTCACCTCCCTTCTTATCCCCCTGTGCCCCCCTGTGCTCCAGGGGCTCATTGTTGGGGGGGGGGGGGAAGGGAGGATAAAACCAAACCCCTGACCTGCACATTTCCAGCTTTATCATTCCCTGCTCATACCGGGCCCTGGGAGCTTCAGGAAGTCAGGGCCTCCTCTATGCCTCCGGCACCGGCCCAGCCTCCTTCACCCCCATGAACCCTTCCTCTTTTGGGGCACACCCAAAAGTTACCTGTTCAGGAAGTGTCTCCGTGGCCCCAGGCAGTCTGGTTTCCTCCATTTTGCCCATCCCCACAGCTGTCCTCACTTTCCCTCACAGAACCAGCTGCAATTACCTGCTGTGATCACCTGCCTGTTTGTATGGTTACTGTGGGGTCTTTAAGCTCCAAAGCAAAAGCCAGTCCCTCTTCTGTTCAATCAGATCCTGGCCTACAGCTGACACAGACTTTTCCGCCACCACAGTGACTGGGTCTCCAGTGTTTTGTGATCCAGACTGTCCAGATTGAAACCTCTCTGGGGGCCCAAATACAGTCACATTCTGAGGTGCTAGGGTTAATTAAGGCTTCAATGTATGAATTAAGGGGCAAGAGACACAATTCAATATATAATGTCCTCCATTCTTTCTGTTTGTTTCAGATAAGGAAGAGGACAGTGCAGTAGGGGGAGACTTGTCCCCAGCTCCAGGGCTCAGTAATGGGCTTTGACAAGGGACCCTGTCCATTTCCAAGTAGCGGTGTAGCTGTGCCTGCCCAGCCTCTGCACGACCCCAACCCCTGTGCAGCTACTTTATATTCTGCTCGCCTGCAAGTGCCCTTCCAGAGAACACACTGCAACTCTGCTGGGCGCCCCCTGGCCAACCTCTGGGCCTGGCCTCCAGGCTGCGGGTGTCCTTGAAATAAGCATTTCTTGATAGAAATGAAACTCAGCAAACAAACAAACAAACAAAACCAACAACAACACACAAACCCTGCAGAGTTTTGGGAGATTTAGCTAAAAGAGGTGGATTGGCACACACTCACTCCTTATTTGAAATGATACAGACTTTAGAAGTGGGAAAATGATGAGGCCTATGGATGTGCAAATGAGCCCGGGGAAGAACTCATCAGAAGGGAAAATTACAAACAGAAAAAGACTGTAAAACAAGTGAGGGGAGAACAGTGCTTATCTCAGAATCGGTGGTTCATAGGAAATTCATGAGCAAAGCCTTTGGAAATTTTGTTGGGTTTGGTGGTGGGAATGAAGTGTAAATATGTATAATATGTAAATACCCTTATAATAAAAGCCCATGAAGATAAATGAGCCTGTCTGCAGAAAAGCTGTGTGCTGTATAGGGTGCTAATATAACTGTCGTCACTCTAAGAAATTAGCATAATGCTTACAGGCTCTGAACGTTCCTGAGCTTTGGAAAGACACAGAGATACGAAGAACACGCTCTCGCGAACACACACACACACACTCATAATTACTAAGCACACACACATACACCCATCCCCTTCCTCCGAGCTTCCTCTTCTTCAGCTTAGCTTTTCCTTGCTGTGCAATCCGGTCAAGCCCAGTCTCAGACTCACTTTCCCCTCTGAGATGGGGATACTGACACCAACACCTTGCCACGTTTAGGGCAAGATCGGTCGAATGGAATCGTAAGGTTCAGGCGGAGCTACTTCCCTTCCCAATGCGCGCTGGCCGGAGGCCACTGGATGACCGGAGGACTTATGACCCGGCTTCCACTGCCTGGAGACTGGGACGGGCTTGGCTGGGGAAGGGATTGTCGGTCCCGCGGCAGCGGCAGCGGAAGGAAGGGGCCTATCGGGGTGGAGTCGCCTCGGCCCGCCCGAGCCCATGGAGCCTGTGGCGGGGCTCTGGGCGGCCGCCCTCTGGAGGGGCTGCAACTTGCTCATGGCCGCCTTCTTTGCGCTGGCCGCGGTGGTGCAGGTCAGGCCCTCCGCGGGGGGGCGGGGGGCGGGGAGAGGGGCCTGCGGCGCGCGGTGGGCGGGCGACGGCTCCCAGCGCCGCCCCCAGGCTGGGCGTGCTGTGTACACCGACACCCCAGCCCGGCCTTAGAGGCCCGCCGTTAGCGGGCCAGGCCAGAATTGCTTCGGGAACCCCCACACCTTCCCCGACCTAAGATACGGTGGGTTCATGTCCACCACCCCTCTGAGTGTGGACGGAGCTGATTCAGGGCCTGCCACTTTGAGAGGGCCCTGACCTGAGCAGAAGTGCCTGCCACCTTTCTAATTCAGCAAGTGAATGAAAGTAAACACAATTCAGGGCTTCAGAAGGCAGCCCCCCTGGGCAGTACAGTTATGCTTTGGGGACCCCCTCAGATAGTTTTCCTCATTAAGGGCCCTTAAAATAGCCATTCAGTGTTCGCCTCACTGGTTTCAGAGTTCCTGTGTAGTTCCCCCCCCACACACACACACAAAATATTGTATTGGGTGGAATTGTATGTTCCATTCACTTGTTGCGTTCAACCAGAAATCTCAATCATCGCGATGTGCTGGACTCTGCCTTATTCCTTTAGACTGTCTCCTGGGTGCTTTGCAGCACCTAGTACTTAGCAAATGCACGAAAGGAAGAAAAGTGCAGACCACGCATAGGCGTGAAACATGACAGTTTGCTAATGCCTTGGTGTTTTGGCATTGCAGGTAAATGACCCAGATGCAGAACTGTGGATGGTGAGTAGGAGCTGCTGCTCTCCACTTGAGGCTCGTGAAACTGCCCAAAACACAGTTTCATCTGTTTTCCCCTTCCCTGCTTAAGTACTTGAAAATTCAGAAATCAAATCCTCAGTAAGATTTTCCCCCACTCCTGTTCATCCACCCATTTCTATCGTCAAAAGAATCATTGAATGGCCCTTGCTCAAAATCTGTCACCTGTAACATCTCTGCTCCTTACCTTTGAGATTTCCCAAAAACAAGCAAACAAAAACAAAGGAATCCATTTCCCAAGATCTCTAAATCCCCCAATCGGCATTCAAAGCTCCCCACAGTATGGTCTTCCCAGCTTGGCTTGGAAGCTGCCTTCTAGGTTGGACCTGATGCTCTCTTACTGTGCTTTTGCTCCTAGAAATTCCTGACTTCCTAATCTACTTAATCGACCTTGTTCCGGTGCTAATGGATACCATTGCTTTGGACTGTTTTATTCATGTTTATAATACATGGAAATGATTTTAGATATCTTAATCTGTCCGTGACAGACATCGAGATATGAGTGGTTAAAGCTTGTGGCTATTATACATTGCCTCTCCCCCTCTCCCCGCCCCCCCACACTTGCCCTCTGCCAATTTTTAGAGAGAGCATAATTAAATAATATATTTTCTCTGTGTAACCCCTGACTCCGTAACCAAGTCATGCCATTTTTCACTAGGGGAAAAATAACCTCTTATCCTCTTACTAGTCTAAGTATGTTCCTTGCAACAACTACAGCACCTTCTGTGAGTTTAAGCAGACTTTTCAGACCTCTAGAATCAATCTGCATCTTAACAAGACCTCCAAGTGATTCACATGCACTAAAAGCTGGGAAATGCTGGTCTAACGCTCAGTGGCATGACTGCCCACCTGGGACAGGTGGCCAGATCTACAAATGTTAGTATAGGCCCAAAGCAGTAACTACTAGAGATGGGGAGGGAAAGTGGACAGAGGCTGTCATCCAGACACTCTCCCTTCGCAGGGCCAGGACCTGTTCTATAGTGAGAACAAATCATTTCAACTGTAAAGCTTGGGCAGCTTCCAAGTAAACCTCAGGTTTCTGACTAGTCATGGCACCTGATGTGGTTAAAGTCTGTGCTTATTATCACAGCGGTCCCCTATTCACCCCCTGCCCACATATGCAAGTTTGGTCAGCGTTCGCTTGCTATGGAGGAATATGACAAAACCTTTTCAGGATCAGTCTCCCAAACTCCAAACCAATTTATCAACAATTTCCAAAATGAAGAGCCTGGCCTTACTGGGCACATCTTATCCATACACATTAGCAAACTTTTCTAAAGTCTCACTTGGAGAGGTGAAATATTGGGATGGACGGTCCATGGGGCCTGACTAGCAGGGCCAGATAGCTAATTATGGCTCCTCCTGCCCTACTTTTCAAAGAGTATTTTCTTCCCCGGCAAGTGGGGAAAGGTCATTTGGGCACAGGTGTTAAGACTGGAGGTCTGTGTGTCTGCTCAATGCTAGAGCATGGTGATAAATGAGGTTTTCCTGGAAGAGCCGACAGTCTAGGAGGAAAGCAGAGAAATCACAATCTTCCGTGTTTAAGTGCCATAAAATTAGAAGTTATCATTTCCTCAATTGTTACTGACAACTAGAGGTGAATCATGGAGTGTGACAGCCACTGATGTCATCTTCCTCCCTAGATGTACTAGTTATACTTCTGTGCTCACATAATTTTCTCTCTTGTGAACAGGCGGTATATACCATACCTGCAGTGCTGACCTTGCTTGTTGGCCTTAACCCTCTTGTCACAGGTATGAATTTTGAATGCTAAAGGGATATAAAGCAAATTGGTTTTCC